ATTATTGCATCACTAAAAGGATTTTTTTAATTAAATACTTTACACTGCACATAGCCTGTATTTACGGTATTCAAATTACATTGACAGGTAGCCATCTTGATTTTGCCCTAGTGGTTTTTTATCTTTTGTCTAGATGGCGAAACATATTCTACTAATCGGTAAGACATAGTAACATTTACTTCCGCTAGATGGCAGCCTAAATTTACTAGTCGGTACAGTGAAGTATTATCTAGTACCGATAGGTGGCGATACACATTTTACCAGTCGGTAATAAAATATAGATTACCTTACACACACCCACAATATGTTTTTATTAATTAATTAAAAATAAATGCAACTCCCCAATCAATTTTTATATGATAAAAGTAAGTGTATTTTAATAGTATTATATTTACTTCTTCTTCAAACAACATTATTATATTTACCTTTAAACATATTATTGTCCAGATTATTTTTAGTCAGAGCAGCTGCATTCTTTTCGCATAATAATTGACATGGAGATCTTTGCAAAGAAGATATTAATTAACAAATACATCAATTTTTCTTGTCAGTTAATAAAAAAATAATATCTTCTATTACTGTGTATAAAACTTGATAAAAGATTTTGACATGAATAGAATTTCCTAATATAATGAGTGTTTTGGAGCCATCGCAGAACTTCTTAAACCGTGAGTTTTTATTTAAAGTCCCTCTAGTACTCAATCATGCCTTTGGATGAAAGGTTCAAATCGGCACGAGTTACTGGTTGTAATTATTTAAATAAATTATTGACGAGCACATGAAGAATTCCTTTTTAGGAGCTACTCATGAACATTATAAATGAAAGCTAAAAATACCAGTTAAGTTAAAAATTTGTATCTTTGGCGTCCAATTGGGCACTTACACTTTAACGTATATGGTATAGATACAGAACTTCTGACCTATATGATAACAGGAACAAAAAAAGGATAATAATTTTAGTTTACGAAAAGAGATTATCGTCTATAGGAAATAGTAAAACTATAAATCTATGTAAATGAATGGCTAACATTAGCACAATAGCTATAACACATTGCGAGTATTAGATAGATTTTGTGAACCGGTTTGTTGATAAGTCGTATTTCGGCATTATGTGTGTGTTATTTTTTTTCTTACTTGTTTATTTCCATAATAAAAAAAAATTCCCCGGGAAATTAGTAAGGGACCCCTGGCGATCCCTGGAGAATTGGTGGGGCTGGGCTGTCCGGGTTTGTTTAATACTGTGTTTAATAATGATAAATTCTTTTGAAAAATTTTTTTTAATTGCAATATAAGTATTTTTTTGTCAGGTTATCACAAGTACTTGAAAAATCGTGAAAAGAATTATATGGAACACCCTGTATGTATATTCGATTCGTTGAAAAAGTGTTACTATTGTAGAATTTGACAAGGCTCTTTCTCAAAGTATCGGTGACAAATGTTTGTTCAGTGATATTTGCATCTGAATGACTCGTTCTCGGTAAGACTTTTATCTTCGCTTAATAGAAAAGAAAGGTTATATGGATAAAAAAAAAAAAAACATACCACAGAGTTTATATTAATCAATGATATGGAATGGTCTAACTTTTGGATATTTTCATTCTCGATGAAATATTAAATTTTGTGAAACCCAAAATTGTCAATATACGAGGATTCAGTATTTTAAATTCAGTATAATAACCTGCAAGGTGATCACCTGCGTTTTATATCACAAGAGAGAGAGAGAGAGAGAGAGAGAGGGAGAGAGAGAGAGAATTAATTCTGTACATAGTTGTTCGTATAATTATTCATATTTACTTTCTTAAATAGTCATGTTGTGCAATGTACTTGCTACATGATCGTAAAAAAAGGAAAAAAAAATATTCGCTAGAAGAAATGTGAAAGAAATATTAAAGATAAGTAGGATATTATATAGGATAGTATATATAGATAAAATAAAGAAAATACTCTCGAGAAGATTGGCATGAAATATCCATTGGCACTTGTCAAACGATGAACTTGTGAAATGTTTCCGTATAATAAATAATCCGTATTTTTTTGCACACTCCTTTTCTTGACCATTTTTATCCGAGGACATTTGGAGGTATTAAATAAACCATAAATCTTAAGGTCCCGCGTCACCCAAAGTCCATTTGGACTTATCAGGACAACTCGTTTGTCCCCGAGTACTTCCGTACGGAAGTGTCGGCCGATTCGCAGGTGGGGCATTAGCTCTTCTGATGAGTATAAAGACAGAAATCATCGGCGTATTTTTGTTAGTCGGTTTTCAGTCGGTCTTTTCAAGTCTGAAACATTATTTTCTATTAAAAGTTCAATTAGTAGACTCGTCGAAATACAGTATGAACGATCCGTCATGTATAATAATTATTACATTAGCAATCATTTTATCGACAAGTTTGTCGTTTGCTTGGCCGTATGGACGTCGAGATGTCTCTGACAATTCGGTGGATAGTTTAGATGGACTTGTATCATCTCATTTGCAACATCTTGGGGATGCAGTATATGGTTTGCCAAGTAACGAGACAGGTTTTAAAGTGGCTAACTGGCACGAAGGAATGTCTGTTAATCCTGAAGAATTGGGTAATTACGCTGAAGGAGATATCCTTTTTCCACTTGGAATGAGTAGAAACGGTTTGAAAGGAAATACTGCTAGATGGCCCAATGGTACCATTCCTTACATGATCAGTCCTTATTTTGGTAATATTGTGTGAAATTTGTTTGTTTGAAAGTTTAATAAACTTCTTGGAGCTTCAGCTACTTTCAATACATTCGTATTCGTATTTGTATTTCCTAGATGATAGACAACTTAAACTCATTTATCAGGCTATGGAGGAATATCACAAATATACATGTATTAAGTTTAAGCAATATACCGGGGAGGAGAATGATTACATTAGAATTACAGCAGGTACTACCGGTTGCTGGAGTAGCGTAGGTAGAATAGGTGGGCGGCAAGATGTGAATCTTCAGGTACCAGGATGTGTTACCAAAAAGGGTACCGTGATTCATGAATTGATGCACGCTATTGGCTTTTTTCATGAACAAAGTAGATACGAACGAGATGAATACGTTACTATTATATGGAAAAACGTCATTAATGGTAAATGAAAATAAATAAATACTCTTATCTTATCTCGTATCTTATCATGTATCTTCTTATTGATCTTGGATCAATTGTCTCCATTGATTATTTCTTGTCGATTAGGCCACGAAAATAATTTCGAAAAGGCACCGAGAGAAATCACTGATGACTTTGGTGTTGGCTATGACTATGGCAGCGTGATGCATTACTCTGCCTATGCATTTTCCAAAAATGGAAAAGCAACTATAACACCAAAAGTAAGAAATCATCATCACGTATAAATATTATTTATCGCATCGTATATGTATATTGCTGCTTAATTTTGCATTGACGCATAATATATTGTATGAAAGTTTGATTTATCGATAAACTTTCATGCTATCGGTTTATATCAGTTCATGGTATTGATGTGTGGTGGTATTGGTTTCTCACACGCGTTGGCATATATGTTTTGTAGGTACCAGGTGGTCTTTTGGGTCTTATCGGAGAAATCTTTCAGGGCAAAACCGAGGTTGAGCTTGGACAACGAGAGGGACTCAGTAAACGAGACATTCAAAAGATACGTAGAATGTATCACTGCAATAAACGCAGGCGTAGTCATAACTGATATTTCAAGCATCTTTTATTTCACGAAATATTATAATTGTATGATTTCTAAAATGATCTAATCAATTGAGTATCGTCATGTAATTGGATCATTGATCTCAGGTATATTTTTATGTTACGCATAGACAAGTATTTTTACTTTCACTGTTTTTCTTATATCTATATTGTTACGCTACTCTTACTCAGTATTATATATGTATTACTTATACATTATTTAAGTAATAATATTATAATAATAAAATAATGCATTTAAAAATGACTTGTCATATTTTAATTGATTTTATTTATACGTCAGTTTTTTGTTTTTGTTTTTGTTTTTTTTTTTTTTTTCATATAAACTCAAGTTTATATATACTCGAAGAGAAAGTAAATGAAAGTGAAATTTATCAGAAATTTAAATATATAATTTAATAAAAAAGAATTTATATATATTCGATTTGATGAAAAAGTTTGATCGATCAAAATTTTCATGATGATAAAAATCTGTCTGCAATATTATTATATAAATTCATAACACTCAACCGATCCACGTTCTTTTGATAAAATCAGCTGCCCTTTCACCTATCATAATAGCTGGAGCATTCGTATTGCCGGAAATGACTTTTGGCATGATACTAGTGTCGGCTACTCTAATACCTCGTACACCCCTAACTCTTAATTGATTATCTACGACAGCAAAGGGATCTTCTTGTGGACCCATCTTGCAGGAACCCGCCTGATGATTTTCAGGCGATGTGTCGTGTTTCACGGCACATTCCCAATAAGCATCGCATCCAAACTTCAAATGTTCGCAATTCTTAACCGGTGTACGATCCAATTGGAAAGCATATCTGTATAAACACATATGAGAAAATGAAATTGTAACGCGTTAGGAAATATGTAGTTAAAAGAAAAGAAAAGAAAAGAAAACATGTAATACGTACCGCTTCAAAGCTTGAGTTTCCGATAGTCTAAGGGAGAATTTGATGGCTTCAACTAATCCAGCTATGTCGTCCGGGTGAGACAAGTATTTCGGATAGATCAAAGGTTTCGATAGAGGATCGTTGTTGCGTAAACGAAGATAGCCACGGCTCTTAGGATGCAAATAAGTTGGAATGATGTAAATGGTACGATTTGTCCCTTTCTTTTCTCCTACCATGCCTGTCTCGGCACAATCCGCTAGATAGCCACCAAATATAAGCTGAACGTCTGGATGATCTTCTCTCGAATTAGCGTATTTCGTATTGATCATTGCGGTTACCTCAGATATACCTGTGTTATCGACAACAACCTATTATTATTATTATTATTATTCATTCGTTTATTTTTCTTTGTCTTGTAAAAATGTGAAAATAACAAAATCAATCAATCAAAAAATACAAAATTAACGATTGTCGTCAGTTAACCCTCTATAACCCTCTAGCTATTTCTTTCCTACTATCGATTTGTCTGCAGGCTAGATTACGTTCTGAATACCTCGAATATGCTCGAGGGTACGGTTGAACCAATTTAGCGAAAAGTATATACGGAACATGTGTACAAAAATAAAAAAGAAAGATTTAGTTAGTTGCCAATAAGGGATTAATTGGAAGACATTTCTTGATGCATGCTATCGCCGTATATCGCTTACTTTTCTTTCTATTTGATTCAATTCCTTCGTTGAATCAATAGCCGTAAAATGCGTGAATAAATGATGCATTATTTTTGATCTAATTAAACTAGCTAATTTTCTCATGCATTGCTTTCTTCCGCTACATTTGTCATGAAGCGTGACCAACTCCAAGATATAAGTATTATAATGATTTACATTAAGTGTAATGTTTTACGTTTCAATTAATCAAAAGCTTTTCAATATCATTTCTCATAATGCTTCAAATATTCTAATGTTATCATAGAACTTTTTTATCTTTTTATGGAACGTAATATTTACGCTTACTAACGTTGTAAAATATTTCTACTTGATGCAACGCTGAACTTAGAACCTTTTACGTGGGTAGTAACTCAGTGAAAGCAATATTATGTCATGGTCTTGATCTTACGTACATTATATATGTCTGCACTTGAAACTATCGAAATATTATATTTATTTACCTACATACCTATTTATACTCGAAACTTCAAATCGACGAATTATTGTATTTAACATTCAAACATTAAACGCATTATAAATGATTATTTATCATAATGAATGAAAAAAAAAAAAAAAAAAAAAAAAAAAAAAAAAAAAAAATATGTTTTACATTCACGAAGTTGCAATGTAACGTCCTTGAATTGTTAAGGCTTTTCAAATCGATCAAGCATAAAAACAAGACGACGCAACGAGNATTATATATGTCTGCACTTGAAACTATCGAAATATTATATTTATTTACCTACATACCTATTTATACTCGAAACTTCAAATCGACGAATTATTGTAATTAACATTCAAACATTAAACGCACTATTAATGATTTTTTATCTTTATGAAAAAAAAAAAAAAAAAAAAAAAGAAAAAAACAGAATATGTTTTACATTCACGAAGTTGCAATGTAACGTCCTTGAATTGTTAAGGCTTTTCAAATCGATCAAGCATAAAAACAAGACGACGCAACGAGTAATGCAGATGAAATAACTTCTCGACAGCAAGGTGTGATAGTTCGCAAAGTTCATTGAATCGAAGCAAAAGTTCTATTCGAAACTAGGTAGCTAATAGACTAGCTAACGTTGAACGCTTTGTTTTCTTTTTTTTTTTTCTTTTTTGGTATCTGTCAAGTATATGTCAAATTTTGTCGTGAAAAGTTATTAAAAATTGATCGATTTTTGTATTAACAAACTATAAATATAACGAAATATAATAATTTCAGAAGTGTTACATCATCGAAACGGACCGACGACGAATACAGAGAAGAAAAAACAGAAGAGGATAATTGTGCAATAAACTTTCACTAGACGTACAACACGATCCCATAAGAGATGTAACGATCAATGCGACCAACGATATACACGTAATGTGTATGCACGTAATAAAGGTTTATTTTTATTGCGACATTGAATTGCATCAAATAAAAGATCAAATATTTAGTTATTAATTTACCTGTGCCAGACATGAGTCCGTCTCTGAAGAGTAGGTACTCCATTGCCGTAGCCCAATTAAGAGGAGTTGTATCGGTGTCGTTGATCGTGAAAGTCAATGTGTAGGCAACGTGATTGTGCAGATTCTTGCCAACTCCAGGAAGATCATGAATTACGGGTACACCGACGGCATTCAGTTCATCTCGTGGCCCAATGCCACTGTTCAGAAGTATCTGAGGTGAGTTCACGGCACCTTTGTTAGATATCATAATATAAAAAATAAATAATATGATTATTATTAATTATTATCAATAATCATAAGTGTCTTTTTTAAGCAAATCAATAATAAGTAAGGATATAATTATATTTTAGCAATGAACTGTTGTACTTTGCGTCGAACTGTAATTTACGTTTTCAAGGACGTAATTATATCTCGATAATAAGTTTAATCGTGAAGTAATGTAAGCGTAAATTATAGGGATCTTATAAGTTTCTATAAAAAAAGCAGAATCTCTCGTTAGAAGATCGAAGATTAGTTGGAAGGAATTAGTTACCTCCGCTTACGACGACTTCCTTCGCAACTGATACTCGATTCAACTTCCCGTCATGAATGAATTCCACGCCAACTGCCCTCTTATTACCGTCCAAGAGAATCTTTGTTGCCGTCGAGTTCAACATGATGTGAAGATTTGGACGATTCCTAGCGGGACGAAGGAAGGCCCTAGCCGTCGAAAGTCGAGAACCATTTCTCGAGGTCGTTTGTGCTATGGCAAATCCGGTGTGCGTTCTTCCGTTCAAATCCACCGTGTCGTATCCTATAACAACAAAATAACAATCCGTTGAATTAAAAAAAATTAGCGTAAAATAGTATGTATGTATAAATGAAAATTCTTCTTATCAATAATAACCAAGTTCTTTTCCAGCTTCAAGAAGGGCAGAGCTCAAAGGAGGATGATAATGGAATTGCGTAACCGTTAACGGTCCCCCAACTCCATGATAACCGATATCCATATTGTACACTTGAAGATTATCTTCGCTTTTTATAAAGTACGGTAAGACATCTTGATAAGACCAACCAACGTTGCCCATTTTGGCCCAATCGTCGTAATCCTTTCTGGAGCCTCTCATATAGGTCATTCCGTTCATAACGCTAGTACCGCCGAGAACCTTTAATCGTAAATAGATAGATATTTAAGTATATAAGAACGCGCGCGCATACGTTACCGTTTAAACGTATAAACTGAGCTAATGAAATAATTATTAATATATGTAGAAATAAGTAAACTAGTCGATGTATAATATTAATGCACTCTAATGTAATAGAGCCTGTTATTTTATAAGTTAATAGATTCTTCACGTTTTAACGGTAGCGCATATATGGAAAAAAAATTTATTTCTTTTTTTTTCTCAATGTTTTTTTTTTTTCTTGATGGAGAATGTGATAAAATTGTACTTTTCCTCTTGGCCAATAACATTTTCTATCGTCTTTATTCAAACACGCTTGATCCTCGCTCTCTGTCGTGTATTGCCAATCGATGTCGCTACCGAGAAAATTAAAGAAGAACGATGGAATTTGTGTACCGGTTGGTTCATCTAGACCAGCTTCTAACAATAATACAGAAAATCTTGGCTCCTCTGACAATCTCGCTGCTACCGCTGCTCCAGCACTACCTCCTCCTATCACCACGAAATCGTATCTAAAAACAAATGTTTATTATTATCATCTATATAATCTTTATTAATACATCATTTAATAGAGAACATTTGTCGAATAATCGTTATAGGATATTGTATTTTTATGAAATTAAGTTTAACGAAGAATTGGATTAGTTCTAATTGAGCGAAAGGTGATTTTCCCATGACTTTGCTAAACGAGTAGTCACGGAATATTACGATTGAGTGCAATAACATGTACACGCCTACGCCCATACCCACGCCCACATGTAATCGCGTATCTATAAGCAATTACATATATATTTAAATATTTTTACATTCAAACATTACATTACATTATAGCCTGAACATATTGATAAATGCAATCTTGAACTTAGAACATGCATTGCATCAAATAGTATGACATTTTCTATCATTAGAAAAAATCAAAACGCGTTCTACGAATTCGTTTAATCAAGTTCAATTACTGTTTATCATACCATTCAAGTCTAGAAGATGCCTCAATATTTCCGAAAAGCTGATACTATATTCTGCATTAAATTACTCGTTAGATGGATCGTATTCGTTAGTTGTTTCTACGTGACGTAAAAAAAGACTTACACACGTAGACAATACACACGCGAAAAAATGTCATGATGCATGGATGCGTGTACATGCACACTTTTTACTTCCGAGAGACTCTAATGTAAGAAAAATAAATGTAGAGAGAGTTATTATTGTTATTATTATTGTGTGTGTGTGTGTGTGTGACTATGTCGTGTATATTATGTCTCGTTATTAAAAGAAGACAATTTTCACCACACAACTAGCATTACGTGAACAGTACTAGGTGACAGTTAATTTCATCATTGTTGCGAAATCTCGTTAAAGTGTCCTTCATTTTCCTTTCTTAAGACTTTTCAACAAAAATAAAAGAAAAAAGAAGATAGCGAAGAAGGGCTTTAGTTGAATATAATTACAAAATAATTTACTAGGATATTTGGAAAATAATTTAGTTATCTACTGATAAGGATAAAATCTTGGATAACTTTCTCTTTCGCACATCTTTTATCCAAATCCCTATAACTATAGTATATAATATTTAACATTAACATAACATAATCAAATTATCGGCTTGCCTCATATTCACATTTTTCGGAGGTATAGGCCTGTTGCAAGGATCTTCAAGGTCGCACTGACTTCGCAAAAACACTTCTAGGAGACCCATGAACAGCATGAACGATGCTCCGCCACAAGTAGAGGCCAATGTTGGCCCTGTGGCCGTGGTCAAAGGGCAGTTACAACTCATCTATAACATCATTACAAGCACAAAGAATAACTTATTCCTTGATTAATATTCTTATTCGCGGTATTGTTTAGATTAAAAATGAATAATGAACACACACACACACACACACACCAATTTACAGAGAACATATAAAAAAAAAAGGGAAAGGAACCTGAAGTGTTAATAATTGATTTCAATCAATAATTATTATATAGAGACTTTATCTTATGTATTCATTTTGATAGGAAAACCACTACGTAGCAATTGTCACATAGATTCCATTGGAAAATAAATGACCCAATGAAGTGTTGTTAACTTTTTTTGTGGTTTCCCGTGGAAATTCTCGCTTTCTCGCAAAGTAAAAAATTCAAGAGGAAACTCTGATCCCCCCTGTACGTTATGTACGATGTTCGTGTATGATATTCGTGTATGATATTCGTGTACTACGTTATGTAACATTTTTGCAAGCCAAGTTTCCTCTTCCTATAATTCTCATTGTCAGATACTCCTTCAATATATCCTGAGTTTTTGTATTCTATTTCGTCTATTTTCCTTAAGAGTTCATTTTCATTTGTATTTTCATTTTTATTTTCTATGTGTGTCTTGAGGTGTTTCTATTTATCTCTTCTAGTTATCTCTCGCGAAAGAACTTTTGTTTTCTCTTAATTGTTCAGCATCACGGTCGACAATTAACATGGTGCAAGGCTTAGACGTAATGCGTGACGTACTGTATGTCTCTTCTTCGTGTAGAAGACCGTTACGTTCACTGACCGAGAACTGCACCGGCTCTCTTACTGTTGATTACAAAAGTCACGCAGTTTCGCACTTTCTTTTAAGGATATTTTTTTTCTATTTTTTTCTATTTTCTTTTCATTTCCTTTTATTTAAACAAGATTAAGTATAAAGTAAATAAAAAAAAAAAAAAAGATCAAATAGAGTTAACTAGTTTTTTCATGAAAGAAGTTAGTTTGGCTGTAGTATCAACAAGTGTATACAACAAGTGAACAGTATGAGCAGTATGAACAGTATCTTCTTATGCAGATATGTATATGTTGGGGAGATTAAGAAATGTAACTTCGGTACTACAGGTATGTATTCAGTTACTGCAGGTTTTCTACGATCTAAATAGTATAAAAGTGCATTTGCGAATAAACAAAAAATTCTTTAATGTCTTTAATGTATAAATATTTTCTTTAGCGTTTATATGAACGATCACGATACGAGGATGCAGGAGAATGTGTAAGAAAAGCTGAATAAATCGATTAAAAAATTTCAAGGTAAAGGTGTGTTGACCCTTTCGGTTTTGTTAATGCCAAGGTATGCAGTGAAACGAGTTAATAATTAATGCCCCTAAATTCAATCTTACATTAAATACGACTCGCTATTCGGTATTGACTGTATTATAAGCAGAGTGAAAGAAGAATGTATAAGAAAAAAAGGAGGCACTCACCTTTAAGCCGTTTCACACGTGCCTATATATATTCAAATGAGTTTAGACACACTCTTGGAGGAGGAGGAGGAGTAGAAGAAGGTGGTTTAATTTGAAGGATATATATGTGGTTTTTTAGCGATATATCTGGTGTTTCACCGTGGCTCACGGTGGCACGATCGAGAACCGACTAGACCGGTACCATTCCCATCGCGCCCGTAATATTCGACAACTTCCACCTCCCTTCTTCCACCTTCCCTTCAATCCATGGAAATGTTTCCAGAGACTGCGAATGAAAGGTATGCTTGTTCTATCCTTTACGAACTTACTACGTGAACGGAATTACATTTCTTGACTGGCTATTTTTCCATATTTTTTCTTTTTTATTACGATGTCTTTGATTCCAGATACGATTGAAAATGTTCTCAACTTATAATGTATTACCCAATACTTTTATGATCAATTTGGAAATGTAATCTCTCTCTCTCTCTCTCTCTCTCTCTCTCTCTCTCTTAGTTTTAATAGTATATTATATTAAAGTCTGATGAGATTCATAGTCGATTTTTCAAACACGACTATGTAATTAAAATGTATTCAAATAACGTAATATATCTAAATAATTCGTGGAATGGTTGGGAAAGTTTAAGGAACACTATTATATACATATTGACGACTTTATTTTGTCTACAATCTTTCCAAAATACATCTTAAGGAAAAATTTGAATATCAATATGTATTATATATAAATGAAAGTTACAGTTATTAGGATTGTATCAGTGAAATATTCATTATACTCGTGATACTTTTTTGGCAATTCGATAATTTAGCATACTTTTACTATGCTCCAGGCAATAATATGATTTGGAAATACCCGTTAGAGACACGAGCGAACACATCTACTAATCAAATTCACATTGAATAAATAAATCGTGAAGAAAATACTTTACTCGATTGAAAACGATTTTTTGATTTTGTTCTACGATTTCGTCAATATTGTTTAATTCCATTGTTTTATCGATGTTCCTATTAATTATCATTGAACAATCATAGTCAATTTAATGAATAATCAAAAACATTGATTATAATACAATTATAATTAAATCTACTGTATCATATCTACTGTAAAACATAAAGCTGATAAAAAATAATGTTTAAATATGATAATGTCTTTTAGATATTTAAATACTCATACTATAATATGATGTAATACACAGCCTAATAGTGAGAAGAAAAAAAAAGCAATAACGAGCTAAATGTAAGGAAATTACGATCAAGGGATAAGTAAGAAAAATATAGTTCATAGCCACTATGGATTGGATTTCTTTTTATAATTTCGTTATAATTGGGAAAGAAAGAAAAGAAATGAACAAATTATTATAATATTTTAATCTAATCTTCGATCTGATAAACGGTTAACGTCTTCGTATGTATTTTCGCGCTTACTGCAAGGAAACAAAAATACATCTATAAAATAAAATCAACAGAACAATCAACATTGTATAGAAAAGAATTCAGTTTACTATGACTAATAATATTAATCCTCTCCATAAGAAAAGAAAAAAAGAAAATATGTTAGAAAATACAGTATGAATGTAAGACTATGAAATAAAAGAAAAGAAAAAAAGAGAAAAAAACGAAAAAAACGAAAAAAACGAAAAAAAACGAAAAAAACAAAAAGATTAGGGAAGTATATATTGATTAGGAAAAGTATATTCATTCTACTTTTTTAATTCGTAATTGCAAGAGTCCCGCTAAAACGCTCGTGAAACCGGCATTGTAGTCTAGCGTCACTTCCGTATAAATATATTCTTCTCTATGATCTTGAAATTCGTCGGCCTCGTCGGGTCCAGATACCAAAGCACCGTAAAGTATTTGAGGATTGGGTTCTTGTCTGTCGAATTCTGGCCATCCGCAAGGCATTGGTTTATCTGGACAGGAGGAAGCTGCGTGATGCGGTTGCGTAGGTGGATTATTTCCATATCCAACCACGTAACTTCTTCCTAATTCATTATAAAAATGCATATGTATATAAATGTATATGTATATATCATGAAAGCTGTGTTTAATTGGCTTACCCTTATCGCCTATCATATAGGAAATTTGATCCGTTGCAAATTGACGATATTCCTGGGAATCACCGATATTGGGATAATCGGCAGCTTGCAGACAAACAAAGGCTACATTTGCAGCATGACAAAGGGTACCGAATTTGTCGATATATAATAATCCTTTGGGCGTACGCTTTTGTTGTCGAACAGAAAAATCGCAGAAAGCACGCGCGGCATTTTGATATTCCAATTGACCCGTCAGTTGAGCTAACAAAACCTACTTAGCCAAATGGTAATGTTGCAATGGTAATGGTGACATAATGAATGATTAACGTTAATCGATGATCTTACCTGAACACCGGCAACCTTTTTATTATAGAAGAACTCATTTGGCCTTTCTTTAAGATGAAAATGTTGATAATGATGTTCGGCATCCTCGAGATACCTCGAATCGTTGGTTGCTTTGAAGAGCCAAGCCGCGGCCCAAGCCAACTCATCCCCGTAATCAGTGCTTTCGTAATATTGCGCTGCTCCACGAATAGCACTGTGATAAAGTCCACGATATTTATTAGCAAAATTATAAAGCTCTTTTGCATGCTTCAGACAACGTTCGCTATAATCTGGATTAACATTCTTGAAAACGATACTGGATGCTGCAAGTGACGCCGCAGTTTCCCCAGCTAAATCGGAACCTTCATTAGAAAAATGTAGGACAATTAACAACAACAACAACAAAAAAGTAATTAGGACAACATTACAACTCGTATTTAATATAAACATACCTGGATGATCAGGATCGATTTTGTAAACTGGCCTCGTTGTATTTAATTCTTCTGGTCTTCCCCAATACGCGTGATCGACAGAAAAGTCTCCGACTTGTCCATAAAAGACAAACTCGCTTACGTGACACTTGATAAAATAGTCAGTAGCCCATTTAATAGCTTTGCGAATTTCGTCAATTTGACCGGCCTCGACGTAAGCTTCGGGCCAACTAGCAGCTCCCCATGCTAAAAGGGTTGTCGTTGATGCCATTGTGAAACCAAATTTCACGAAATCACCAGCTGTTGAATATACAAGAAAAAATAACTTATAAAAATTTAACGACAAAGTAATATAATTATAATATAACTTTGTATTGTTGTCTTATCTTTCTTTTGTTACTAACGTAACACTCTAAAGTAAAAGTGATAATTGAATACCAGCTAATCGCACGTTTCAATGGAATGGATAATATTACATTTGGACCTTATACTCACCGTCGTAATAACCACCCGTAAGATCTTCGCCATTGATTCCATGATCGTTCAACGCGGAATCACCTCTCCAGGATATTCTGTTATCCTCCGGAAGTTTACCAGATCGTTGCGCTTCGTAGAATAATAAAGAGAGCTCCAAGACTCGAGCGTAATCTCCCTCACCTTCGTGGATTGGTTTCACGTAGGCTTCTTCACCGCTTATCTTAGTAATCGAGGCCACAGATGTTATCGTTAAAGCCTGCCAATTTTATTATTTTTTACCCATTATTTTACCCAAATTGCTAGCTATTTAAATACAAATATGTTATTATTTGTATAACTAATTATCATCGATTTTCTTTCCTGGTATGTATGTATCGATCGATAATTATGATAGCGAACTAACAACACTGTAAGGTCGAAAAAAGATCTTTTCATTGGTACTTGCCATCTATGTTGGAACTAGTTCTCTTTAATAGCGAGTGCTAGGAATTTATTAATTATCCATTAAATAGATAGTCACACATTTTATTCTTAAAACAAATTTAACATTGATTTATTTCTATCCATTACTTTCGATGACTTCGAAAGTAATGGATATATTTTATATTTTAATGCAATAATATTTGATATATCTTACCACATTAGCAAATTGATCATTTTTCTCTTGTTTTATATTTTACAAGTTTCATCGCAAGAGACAAATATTCCATCATAGTTGTTTTAGTTTCATAAAAATGTGATTTGTTCAACGCCGGAAGACTCTTTCTCGTCGCATTGATTCCTCCTCGAGGAAAGAGGAAAGAGGAAAGAGAAAAAGAAAGAGAAAAAGAAAGAGAAAAAGAAAGAGAAAAAGATAGTACAGCACTATATGAGTTTACAATAAGGACGGTATTTGCGGAAGGTGTTGGCGTTTGTCATACAAAAGAATTTCTTAGAAGCAGTAAACGTGCGTGAGAGCTGTACGAGAGATGTAGACAGATCTTACCTACGTTTTCAACTTACA